AAAACAAACACCACGGATCTTCAGCAAATAAAATTCATTCTACAGTAAGCATTTACTAACTATGCAGTACTTATATAACATGCATTTAAGTCATTACTTAAAAAGGCATACCATTTTATCCAGTTTGCTTTTCAGATTATCTCGGTCAATGCAGGCCTCTCGATAGGCTTGGTATGCCTTGTTTACTTGTTCACGTCCAACTGAACCGCATTCCTCTTCCAGTCGTGAGCCAAGCAGCTAAAAGTTTAACAGACATGAGAAGTAAGAAGTTTTGTATGTTATATTGAGAACTGCAAAATTTAAAAAGTGCAATAGTACAGCCTGCAACTTAAACTAACATCATTTTTTTAGTTTAGAAAATAAATTAATCAAATACATTGATACGGACCAAAATTTTTTACAAAAGTGAAAACAAAGGCTGTCTACAAATTCTGCAATCTCTAACCATACTTAATGCTCACTAGTTTACTACTATGAGTATTTAAAAACCATCCACAAGTCATGGTTACTCACACTGGCAATCCTGTAATCATATTTTTTTCCAGGCTCTGAAGATGTGCAAACTGCTTTTTGGAAAAGAGTTTTAAGCGTATAAAGACACAACATATAGAAAATTCAGAGGAAATCAAACATAACTTTTTTAATGACTCATAATTTAAACAAAGACTTTTTTTTCAGTGTAATGTGGTTTTTATGTGAGAAAAGCCAAAACAGAATTATTTTACAAATAACTATTAACTTCCAAGTCACCACTATCTCATTGCCTGCTAAGGCAAGAGAAAAGCAAGGGCGAATAAGCACCACTAACTAGATTGTCAGAAAGAGGGGGGGCAGAGTTAAAATATATTCAGTATTTTTAATAAGACAGCAAGAAGAGAAGCCTTACATCAAATTACATCCATTCACATAGAAAGTACTTGTACTAAGTATTGCATTATCCTTTTCATTCTGTTTACCCTGCACACTTGTTTTAAATTATTGAGGCATTTAAACACACCCAGTGTAGATATTTGCGACAGATTTATATATTTTCTTAAAAATTAAGAGACATACACACACAAAAATTACAAAAATCAACAGTTATGTATCTACCTTAAATATCTCCTCTTTTAGGTGTTCACTCGAAAGAAAGTACAGGAAAACAAGCCATAAAGATAGGAAGCTTCTGTCCTTTGCTTTTTGTATTGACCCTCAAAGTATGTGTACTACTCATTTTAAGTTTTGTCTTTTAAATTTTCCTCCCCCAAATAAAGTCATTCTGATAGAACACAAGCCTTACCAAACTTTCTGGAAGTTTCCATACACTTTGAAATTTAAAACTCAAAAGAGGTAACTCTAAGAGGTTAGTATTTTTTATCATACAGGTATACTAGCCATTAACAAAGACTGAAAGTCAGCTCTGTTAAGTAACAGTCTTGGCCCTCTCAATGCCCCTCTCTCATAGAAACATTTCTATGGTATTCATATATTAAAACAAGTCTTCTCTATGGAAAACAAAGTATCATCTTCAAGACAATTAAGCTGAACCAGGCCAAACCAAAAGACACAAGACTAAAAGGGATTGTCAAGGTCAAGTCCTGTTTATTGTGATTTTGAGTAACCACATAAAAGATGTTTGTCGTGGTTTAACCCCAGCCAGCAACTAAGCACCACGCAGCCGCTCACTCACACACCCCCCCACACACCCATCCACACACCCCCACCCCCCCCAGTGGGATGGGGGAGAGAATTGGGGAAAAAAAAGTAAACTTATGGGTTGAGATAAGAACAGTTTAATAGAACAGAAAGGAAGAAACTAATAATGATAATAATAACAATAATAAAATGACAATAATAATTATAAAAGAGTTGGAATATACAAAACAAGTGATGCACAAGGCAACTGCTGACCACTCCCTGACCGATGCCCTGTTAGTTCCTGAGCAGTGATCCCACCTCCAGCCCAACTACCCCCAGTTTATATACTGGGCATGACATCACATGGTATGGAATACCCCTTTGGCCAGTTTGGGTCAGCTGCCCTGGCTGTGTCCCCTCCCAACTTCTTGTGCCCCTCCAGCCTTCTTGCTGGCTGGGCATGAGAAGCTGAAAAATCCATGACTTAGTCTAAACACTACTTGGCAAAAACTGAAAACATCAGTGTGTTATCAACATTCTTCGCATGCTGAACTCAAAACATAGCACTGTACCAGCTACTAGGAAGAAAGTTAACTCTATCCCAGTGGAAACCAGGACAATGTTACACTCAGCATGGTTCAGACAATATTCAGTCTAGAGCTCTGTTCCTATCCCCATTACTTTCCCCAGGACCCTATATGAAGAAAGTGCTGAGAAAGTTTTGCCTTTTGACAGAAGTTCAATCCTGTCAAACTAGTCACTAAGAATTCCTGAATAAGTGTTTCAAAATTGTACTGAGTATGACTCAAGCTCTTCATTCCAATGCCACAAAATAATATATACTTTGTAAGCTTTTAAGAGTCAGTAGCATATACTTAAGACTAAGTCCTAATAAATGTCTCGGCTCTAACTTTAGGATCTCTCCTTCCATCTTCTATTAATAAGAAAGTAATCTATCAAAGTTAAGACCTTCTGCAGTACAAAGACACTTCACTACTGAATGATGGATACACATAGCATTCTTTACTCGGGGAAAAAATCCTGCACCATGGCCAATTTCTAGCTTTAATGAATTTCGCTAAACTAAGGCCATGAGAAACCGCATATAAAACAAATTCCTAGACTCCTTTAAGTTTTAGAATTGCTGCATCAAAAAATAGCTAGCCAACACCTCCATGTTAAGCATTGCAACTTTGTATTTCATGTTTGAGACTGCTATTAGCTAGACCTAGCCAGATATTCTTAACAACCAAATTTTCCTTATCATTGTGGTATGTTGAGCCAAAGAGATTCTTTTGATAGACAGTCCCTGGATTCTGACAGTTTAAAGACTTGGCACCTCACTATTCAACAACACTGTGACATGTGCCCAAGTTAAACACCATAAAGAGGTAGATGAAATACAGTAACGATCCAATGCAACTACACCTCTTTTGGAATCATAGCCAGTGTCTTTGCAGTGCACTACTGCATTGCGTCATATACATGCCCAGTAAGAATCAAAAATCCTAGTATGATGTAACTAGACTACCAGAGGAACAATCTGTGTTTCACTTAAACAAATAGAACAATTTACCAAAGCTTTTTAACTTGGAAATTATTTTAAGTACATATTTTAAACACTTAACCACATGTTCTACCATCCAGACAGAAGCAAAAAAGTAGCTGCTACCAGAAGCTGGTAAGTCAACTTTTTTTCTTACCTTCTCTTCTAGAATTCTCACTCTTTTTTTTAAGAAGGAGTTCTCCTTCTCTGTCTCCTTTAGCCGTTTCTTGATATCCTCATATGCAGTGACAAGTGCGAAGTGTGAGGCAACAGACTCATCTCCACTGTAACATGAGACAGGAATCTCCCCATCTCTCTTATGAGCATTGTCTGCTTTTTCATGGTTCAAAATACAGATGTCATCCTCTACCAACTCCTCCATGACAGCTGTTAAAAAGACAGATAAGAGTGCAAAATTTCACAAAGACAAATTCATCAAGAGTCTCAAGTCTGAAAACCTTCCGAAATAATACTGCAGGGTGTTTCTAAGTACGACAAGATTGAATAATTAGGAACTACCTTAATGTTGCAGAAAAATCTTGAAACCCATTATACACTGCTTAGAAAAGAAGCATCCTTCACTGTTACTTGATAAAAATATTTTGAGTACACATCAAATTTATGAACCCCACAATTAATTTTTATTATGGCTTAACACCATCCTAGAATTTGGATGGTACCAAATATTTGAACTACAGGAATTAGAGGTTTTCCAAGTCAGCACTGAGCAGTAAGAGAGATTATAGTTGCAAGAAATCAACTACTGTGGTTCCTGAGCAAGAGGGCCAAATTTCCTTCATTCTTGAATGCAAATATTTATACTTTTCCCAAACTTTAAAATGGAATCTTAAGGTACACTTGCCTTAGTCCTTAAAGAGGCTGCATGAGTAGCTAATCTTTACTTAGTCACAGTAGAAAACATCCTGCTGAACAAGAATTACAGTAATTCTTGACTGCAATTATGGTGAGAATGAAAATCCACTCAATAACTATCTGCCCAAACATGCATGGAGGAAACTGACAATAATCTGACCATAAGAAAAGTATCACCCTAAAACACTAGGCAAATCCACCTGAATGACAAATGCAAAGTAACCATTAGGTTGAGTTTTCATTACAACACGTATCGTTTAGGCACAGCAAAATATTCAATAAGAAAATACCACCTTTAAAAAACTCCATATACTTTCTTGAACTCCAGGCCTTAAGGGAAAAGCCCCAACAGCATTTTCCTTAATGTTAATAGTTATCAGGAACAAGTTCAGGGGTTTGATTTAAAAACAAACAAACAAAAAAACACGCTGAAAAACCCAAACCCAACCAAACAGAAAAAGACACAGCTCATTCTTGTTTAGTTACAAAGATCAAGATTCGTTGCATTTATATGCAATACTAACAAATGCTATACAGCATCTGATAACGTTTCCCCCCCCCTAAAAAAAACCTACTGATGCTACTCCTACCAAAAGTAGATTTTTATTTTTATTTTTTCCCCTTGAACAAATCCTTAGGTTCCTGATGATTAGCTAATGAACCAACAGAAATGATGGAATGAAAGAAATGAGCATAACGAAGACAGTCTGTATTGTAGGAAAAAGCCATTTCAACAACAGAAAACTGACCTGACCACCCGAACATCACATCGCAGGAAAGACAGGCATCAGTGGGGGAAAAACCCACAGCCACAGTCACTGACTCTACTGTGTATTTGCTATTTAAATTCAAACTAGACTTCCACTTATTTAGCGATACTAAGAGGTAAAGGGATCAACTGCCCTGGAGCTTATCTTCATGGTCCGCTTTCTCTCACCGTGCTAGCAATGGAAAAGCTACATGGACTGCAGCATTATGAAGAGCTGTAGCACAGCTATAGCTGAACAATGGTGCTGTTATCACATTTGTCTCAATTTGCTTCAAGCCAGTTAGACAACATGATAAAAAACTGTGACATGTTGTTTATACTAAATAGACAGCAATGGAGTTGCAACAGTGAAAAAAGACAAGCAAATTACAAACCAAAACTGAAGTCTTTCTAATGGTTATCTTCAGGAGGCGAACAGATGCCTTGTATACTGTTTGATGTATTCCGACAAAACATGTAGCCTAAGCTTCCCTTGCCTGTTGTTTTGCCTCATACTTAAGCAGAAAGAGCCTTGCAAAAAAGGTTTGCTTCCTTTTAATTGTAAGAATAATATCACTCCAGGCACAAAGTGACCTTGACCAAAAGCACTACATCATTCAAACTGCATTAACTGACTGAAGCAATTGCTCATTTTGTCTTCTAAGATGAACATAGCTCTTCTCTCCCTATTTTACCAAGGGCCCTCCAAGTCTTCTCACCCATCTCATCAAATTCTAAGAGCTTGCCTTCTCAAGGCAACACATCTCCTTTTCTCTGAGCACTAGACTCAAATGTCACTAAAGAATTGTCACAGCTTATCATTATCTCTTGAAGAAGCAGCAGATTGTGTGACCTTGTACATAAAATACATCTTTGTCCCCACACTTTCCTATAGCTCCTAAACTTGAGCATCATACATTCCCTATTTCTTGCACACATCAGTTCCACCAGGAGATGGCAATAAGGGAAAACAGGAGACATCAGAATACGACATCATATTTATTCTGCATTTTGCTAACTAAAACTCACTGCCTTCATGAGCTTCCAAAAGAGCAAGACCTTCAAATAAGACTTGACACACACAAATACTATTTTATAAATTCAGGTACACACTTAACCTGTACCTACTAAGAGGACTAGTTACACTAACATCTTTTTACTTGAAAGATCTCATTTCGTTTACAAGATTATTCAACTCCGGTTTTCTGATGCTGCTCTCTAAGCCAGCACTGGATGCTATTTAGAAGATAAGCATATAATTCCATATAATTCAAAGGGCCTTGTAATACACATTTTTCAAAATTTCTACACAAGAGAGAACCATTTCAGAAAGATCTGAGATACACATTTTTGACTAATCTTACTGCATACTAAATGACAAGAAACTGCCTACAAAACAGAAGTCTACTTCTGAGAGACAGGCGCCCAAAGAAGACACCTTCCTCTCAGCTCATCCCTTTAAACAGATCTGATGATGTAACACTTTGGAGAGGAAGTGGCAACACACCATACATAGGCTTAAATGAAGTAGGATATTCAGAAGGAATTGTGCGATTTTTAAACTTTTTGCTTCAGTTATTAAAAATAAATAAAATTATCATGAAACATGCTTCTCTCTACTGGAAGCTTAAGAGCCTGTCAAGAAGGGAAAATCACCACAACATTCACTTTTTATATACATTATTTTTATCTTCTGTTATCTCTATTAACATAAAGTATTAATAATATCTACATACCGTATTACACTGCCATGACCACAAAAAAGTGCAGTCGTTTCAGGTCTACAAGAAACACTATTCAAATCACCACTGTCATCATGCCCAACAATATGGAAACAAAACCAACTTCAGACAGACATAACTTTCAAATAAATGGACAGATTTACATAAACTGAAATTTAAATGCCACTAAACACCAATTCACTCAGAATTTTAGAGCCTCACATGAAGGAAATATAATAATAAGATATTTACATTACTCTTAAGTTTAGCATAAGATCACTTCAAAAAGACATAGCGTAGACAGTCAGAAAACAAAAAGCTGTTGGTATTTTGAGATTTCACCCTACCTCTTAAAGGACATTTCTGCTTTGGGAAAGAGGCACTACTCTTGAAACCGAAAGCACCTTCTCTTCACAAAATAAACAAGCCACTATGATTTCTAAGAGATATCATGATGCTATTGTCAGTCAATCTGAAAGGAAAAGTCTGTACATATTTCATTCTAAATAGCTCTCCATTTTCTCCCGTAATAGTTATTCTACAAAACCACACAGTTAAATTAAAAAAAACAAAACTTCAAAAATTGTAATAAATTTATAGAAGAGGAAAAAAAATGAAGAAAACATGCATTTATCAAATCTCAGGTATGAGTTGATACAAAATAATTTTAACAGTTAACTCTATTAGTAAACATCAGTCTGTTGCCTGTCCTTACTAAATATTCCTTTTATTGCATATTTTAAAAAGTTTCAAATCTCACAGTCTACAGAACTGTATGATAGACATTTCCTAAGAAAAGTGTTATGACTTCTGTATTGGATAGGTGCACGATGACTCAAAAATAAGTTATAATATACGCACCACTAACTGCACTATGCATTAGATGAGCATAAGAAAAAAGTCACATTAGAAAAATTAGAGCAGCATTGCTAAATATATCTAAATAAATCAACAGAACCTAAAAAAGAAGAAAAAAACCCCAGTTTATCTTTATGCTGCAAAAAACTTTCTGAAGTATTTCCAAAGAAAAAAATAAAGGCAAAGTTACTTCTCCAGCACCTGCTAAGCCCGTATTAAAAGGGCCAATAAAAGATATAAGCTCATACAAGAATAAAACCTGGTCATTAAACAGTGTTAAGATCAGCAGTTCTGTAAAGGTCATGGTGAAATGCACAGTTCACCCAGCTCTGTCTTGCTGTCAGGAAAAAGAAAAAAAAAGAGAAAGCATGCTCGCAAGTACTTTCTCCATAAGAAGCTCTCTCATGATATTATAGCAATAGACAGAAATCCTTAGAAGACGAAACCTTACAAAATGGGGCTATTATCTGTAAGAAAGGCTGTAACCTTTAATTTTACTCTTTATGGACAGGAATCAAAATTTAGTTTTTTCCAGTATTATATTACATCATTTAAAAAATATGAACTGTAAGCAACAAAGAAGTGCTTTCTGACACAATACATGTATTAGATTATTCCACAAGTTACGACTCGTCGAATCTGGCAGCCCCAGAAGGGCTTGCTGGATGGCTTACTGAGTCCAGCCGCAGACCTCTGCCTGAGTTTTATTCTGTTTGGCTTCTCCAATTCAAAGCTACACTGGTATGTGCTGCTGCAAATGCTCCAGAGCTGTCACTCTGTAGCACCCAAGTGAATTTTGATCTCTCTGGAGTAGCAGTATGAGATAATCTGTACTAGAGTAACCAGTTAAAGTGAAAGATTTCCCACTAAAATATTTAAAGTATTATACAGACAAGTTAATGTCTATGAATACAACTGATGTCCATCTCAACATACCTAAAGCAAGCTTTATGATCCCACTTACCACACATCCCATCCCAAGAAAGGTCTCCTAAATACTTTTGCCTGTGACAAAGAAACATGTTACATTTATACATTTTTTACAATGATCTGTACATGAAACAGCCTATTTAAAAGGAATTAATCTTTACTTCCAAAAATAAATACAGTAAATGAATACAGTAGTAGTGTTTGTATTAAATAACTAATGTTTTAAAAAAAACAACACCACAACCCAAATACACTGTCGACAGGACGTAATATCAAGTTCTAGCAGGAGTAATTATGGCCACTGTTTATAAGCATATGAGTTTGAAGAGATGGCACCACTTAAGTTTTCTTTCACGTACTGTAGAAAAGAATGGTTTACAGAAACCACTTCTGTTGTTCACGGATACTTAATGTAGGTTATAGAACAGCTTTAGGATTTAATATATTAAGCATCTTGAGAATAAAAATGTTTTCCTATTTCTTATTAATGCTTGGCAGAAATATAGCTTTTCTCTTCATAGAGCTTTACAAATATTAGTCATTAACACCATGGGAGGTAGTTAAATATAAAACAGATTTTACATACAAGGAACACAAGACGCAGAGGCTCTAACAGCAAACAGACAACTGCACAAACAGACTTCTGTAGTTTGAAATGCTAATCTTATTCTCGGATCAGGAAGAGAGAGAGTAAAAACAGGATTACATTAAATTTTTCCCAGTATCAAGCAGATTCCCATTTTGCCCCACCTTTTGATTTGAAAGAGAACAGAACGGTTTTCAAAATATTTCCAAATGTCGAATGCAAATAATTTCAAGATGGTATTTTCCTGATTTTTTCAGGGCTACTGAGAGTCTGAACTATTTTACTTCATTTACCTTCTAGACTTCAGGGGTTTGACTTCATAATGGTAGTATGAATAGTCTCCAGCTGTTAATAATAGGGGCATAATTTTTGTACTTGTTTACCTTGCCTTACATGGAAGGGTGTATATATGCATGTAGACATAAAAATAAAACATTAAATTCAAGAAATGCCTTTGATCCATAGGAACCCTGAAGGAGCGTGCAGCCCTCACCTTAATTTCAGAAGTTGTACTGCTTTTTTCTTCTCCTTTTTAAAAGACACTCCAGCACAGCAACGAAAAATACAGAATTCCTGCAGTCGGCATCAAAAACTCCACATAGTATATGGAGCACATGACACATGATGCTAAATAAAGCAAGACTTCAGTCTCTTTAAGCATCTACCATTTTGCATGTCTCCCTCAGAAATCTTAGGTTCCCTTTGATTCCAGCTGCGAACAGCCTGTTCTACTGCGAGACACATCGCTTTTTTACAGATACTTGCTCCATTTTTAGAGAAAAAAATCTGCATACACACATCTCAGTAGCTGCTAGCTTTGGCCACCACTTACGCTTCCATATGAACAAAGTCCACAGCCCCAAAGCACTCCCTAAGAGTCCATGTGTACAAGGGCACAGCCCTGCAGCCTCAGCATACTTGGTGCTCTTTCAGAAACACGTCAACGTATCAGCTACATCAGACCTCCAAATCGCTTTCGTTTTGCTGCCTCCAGGAAATGGAAAGTTACTGTCTCTAGGCTCACAAACCAGATCACTGTAGTTCATCTGTCGTGAACGTCTGGGTGAGCTAGAGGAGCCAAGCAAGATCTCCTTAGGTACAACAGGCAATTTTTTTGATCTCAAACTTTTTACAATAAATAAATAATCTACTCTCCAAAGAACTAGAAAAGTACTAAAAAGACCATTTTATGACAACGGTGCTTTATAAACCTTACTTTCTCTGAACAGTTTTACACCCCAGTATCTTCATCACTAATTTGTAAACCCTATGCATCTTCAACATAATGTATTCAATTTGCCTTTCTGTGGATGCTGTCACAACAACCACTTCCCCTGACAACCAAGAGAAAAGTGGGGCGGGGGGGATAAACCCCAGAAGTTAGAGTCAATTAAATATTGTCCTCTCAGCATCCTATAATCCTGTTTATTAAACTATTAAATTTAATCTTGCAACTAATTAGAAGCAATGCTGCCAAAGAAACACAAGCAGGAGCAACGTGGCTTCTGGCTGTTAAACCTTTCTAGCACCAAATATAAGTATATTCAAAGCTTACTGAAAAACCCGTATGTTCTCATGCTAACACTGATTATTATTTCAATAGACACTTTTTTGGTGTTCATTCCTTCCCACTTAAAAATGTTTATAAAGACCAACACTGAAGAAAGTGAAGAGGGTTTGTTTTGGGGTTTTTTAAATCTTTTGTAAAACAAACAGTAGGTCCTACCTCCCAGTCATCAGTTTCCTCCCACTCAATTCAACTGTCAGATTAATTAATGTTCAATAAGTTCACAAGTTCAGCGATGAGGTATTATGAAAGCCTTGTATAATTGCATTAAGTTTTAATTCAACTGGAAACATACCTCACCTGTTACAGCTATTAAAAGGCAAGTTAAACTGAGCCACACTGATGGCCTTTGGTCACCCTGCAATTCACTCACATAACATCTGGAGGTTTTCAAGACACGACTGGACAGGGTGCTAGATAATCTCACCTAGCTTCCCTTTTCCACAAAAGGTTGGACCAGATGATCTTTTCAGGTCCTTTCCAACCTGAGCTGTTCTAGATTCTGTGACTCTATATTCAGGTTTACATCTCATTATTTCAGACAAACCTGGTCATTTGAACACAAGTTCCCACCAGCAGCTTGTAAGCGGATGACTTTGAATATTCAAGTTACTTATGCTTCACTTCCCTCCTCAAACTTAATTTCTTCTCCCCAAATGCATTGTCAAATTTTAGCAGCATCTACCATTTTATACACTAAGAACTCCACATAAAAATATTATATAATCATGTAAAAATAATAGTTAATTAATGCAATTATAGTATAAACATATAGCAAAAGCATAAGACTGATTGCAAAGCTGATTGTGGATAAATCACATACGTATGGAGTCTCTAAAAGTCCCCCCTCAGCGGAACCCACCACTGACTTCTACCAAGCTATTACTAGTCTGACTTTTGTATTACTCCTATCATCACCATTTTAACAAACTGGATCTTGTTGCCACCGTAACTGTTTTATGGAGTATGGACTGTCTACCTAGACCACCTCTGTTTAGAAAATACCTGGGAAAGAATGAAAAGATATATCAAAAGGTAAATGCACACTGTATTTTATCCCATTTATTTCTACCTTTTAGCTTATTTTCTTCAAAATCTATTCTAAGTCAGATATCGATGGCATGTGCAGCGACAGGTCTGTGCTTTTTCCAGGGTAGTTTTCACTTTCCTAAGTAGACATCCCACATTGTGCATTATGACTGGAAAATGTTCAATCTCCAATTCAATGCATCTATTGATATCATAAGAACAAATGTTACTGGATTTGGAACTTCATGTACAGTTTTTCCAACACTGTGAGACAAAGTTATTCTATTTCTTCACCCTGAGTATACCAAATACAGTTTGTTCATGTATTGGACCTGATAATTTTCACACTTTCCTCACCTTTTAACTCTCATATAGAAAACAGAGATATACTGAAAACCAAACTAGAATATTTGCTGAAATTTAGGCAATCTTAAAATTCTCTCCAATTTATGACCCATTTTTGCTGCACGAAGATGTCACCTCATCCCCTTTGCTCTTTTAAAGAGCTTTTTGCCATTTAATTTTCATTGTAAAACATAACCTAGCTAGTGTTCCAGCAATGGTCACTTTATACTTTTCTGAACCATAAACTGTAGTATACAAGGGCTGAAAAATAAAACGCAGTTTTAGAAAAAATGTGGGGTTTTGGAGGGGAAGAGGTGGCTAAAATCCTCGTATGAGCTGAACTAGAGTTCACTCAACCAGTGTTTTCTGCCTTCTGACTTCACTCATAGTTGTTAGCTCAAAAATTGTGCTTTGAATTTGGGGCAGTAGTCTCCTACTTAAGTTATAGTGCAACCATCTGATAAACACTTCTTTCACAAGTTCTTTTACAAAATACCAATTATTCAAAGAACAAAATGTAGCAGTAATCTTAAATTTCTTTTGGTTTCTACAATAAAAATTCCAGGATACATGTGCTAACAGATAACTGGTATTATTAGCAGCAGTAGCACCTGATCACACACCACTATGCAAGAAAATTGTTTCCCACAGTCCGTAGTAACACTTCTCAGAAAACTCTGTCTCAGAAGAGCACCTCACCTTTGGAGCCCAGAGCAGACCTGACTGTTATGACAACAGCCTGACCCGCACCCTGCTTTTTCCAGAGCTGGTTTGCTGCTTTTAGTGCATACACACAGTGTATGGGACAGCAGGGAGATTAAGGGATTCCTCCAAGACATGCAAAAGCTCCTAAAACCACTCACTGGAACAGTTTACAGCCCAACCCCCTCTCACTTGTAAGCTGCTGGGGGACAGATTTATTTAAGGAGATGAGGGTAATCAGGTAATACCAGGTGAAACACCAGGACTTCAAGCTGGAATTTCTTAAAAGTCGAAAGCATCGCTCGCATACGAGACTATCTCAACACTCACCTGTACTCCCTTCTTCCAAACCAACACGGCCCGCAACACCTGTACTCCGGTCTGCTCCGGTATTTCATCGTGTTTCTGTTTCCACATCTCGTGCCAATAACCCTACTTCGTTCACGTGCTTTGCCAGATTCCCCTGTACGCGAACTGCTGCTCTAAGAACTCGCCCGGTTTTCCAGCTCAATCAGCTGCAGCTTTTTAACCAGTTTTATTGCCTACCCGGGACCCGTCCCCAACCCGCTAGCAGAACCTCTAAACTCTGCTCGCCCTCCCTCAGCGGGGAGGCCCCTCCTCACCCGCTCACCCTTCGCCCGCGAAGCGAGAGCCGGTCAGGGACGCCCCGCAGGGCTCGGCCAGCCTGCTCCTTCGGCGAGGGCGACTCGGTTTCACGAGGAGAGGCGAAAGATCGGACGGAGCCGCCCCCGTCCCCAGGGGCAACCGCTCCTACTCCACCGGGCGACGGGGCACGAAGCTCCCCGGCACCCCCGGGGACGCCACGCGAGAGGCTAGGCCGCGGGGGGGCCCGGGCCGCCCACAGGCAGCCCCCG